TAAACATTGCATTTCCCTCCCCCTTAACATAAAGTAAGAGGAGGGAGATCTGGGCTCTTGTGACTTTCAAAGGTGACAGGTCCTCCCCCATGTTGGGGGGAACGAGCACAAATGTCCCTCATTTATCACCGAAATGGAATTTTTCCCGATTTGCACACCTCCCTCCCAAATCAAATGCAGTTTCAAGAAATGGTCTCAGGGGAGCCAGGTAGACAAGTTTTCTCTTGCGTCAGGATTGGCCGCCCCCAGTGGGACAGATGGAAATAATTTTCAGACTTAAGGCCAGTCATTCGGTCCCCCAGAAGTCATCATCTCAGCCATTTCTGTCCAGCCAGATGTAAGCAAATTGCAGTCAAACGCGAAGCCCATGCCAGTGACATTCCAATACCCTTCTGAAATTTCTAGGTATTTCCAAAGACTTACATGCTCCGGGTCACCTCTGCTTCTAGGCAACTATGTCCATGCTTTGTCTGTCGCTTATAGACCCAGACATAAAATCCAGCCCTGGTCTCGGTTTCCACCAAAAGCTCACTCCCAAGGGCATTCGTGAGAGTAAAACATTTTACCAAAGAGTTGGAGCTCGTAGAGAGAAATGAGATCATGTCCCATAATACATACTAACGCGTGTAAAATATATACACGCTCCTATTTTTAAAAGACCAGTCAGCTACTTAATCCTTAAGAGCTTTGACACACTTGCGTTTCTCCTCATTCAGCACCTGGCTTTCCACCTTCCCCCTCTTCACTCTTCCTTTCTGCCCTGTACCTCTCAGGAATGGAGGTCAAAACCTCAAGTGTCAGTAGGGACACATAGGTGGGTTGAGAAGCTTGGGTGTCAAGCCATAGATTGGACCCAGCCTGCCTCAAAGCATTCAGGTTCAAAACATTTGTAAACACTGTGTCCTATTCAATGTTTCTTTAGACTGCTTAGCCTGAAAGCTGCCCATGACCAGATCATTAGCTCTACAGCATCTCTTTGCCACACAGCCAGCCAAGACGGAGCATCAGTGCGACCAAAACTGGAGCACCCCAGGACTCTCCCCTCCCACTTCCATGTGTGTCCTGAAGTCTTGCTAAGGTTAGGTGAGTGTCAGCATTATTAACTGATCCTTTAGATGAGCGAGCTAAAGTCAGCCAGGTACCAGGTGAGCTGGAACTCTGGACAGCCGGGGATCGCTGCAGGATCCACTCATCTCTGTGTGTTCTTTTGATATTATTTTTTAAAATATATATTTTATTGATTTTGTACAGAGAGGAAGGGAGAGAGATAGAGAGCTAGAAACATCGATGAGAGAGAATCATCAATCAGCTGCCTCTTGCACACCCCCTACTGGGGATATGCCCGCAACCAAGGTACATGCCCTTGACCGGAATCGAACCCGGGTCTCTTCAGTCCCCAAGCCGACGCTTTATCCATTGAGCCAAACCGGTCTTGGCTTGATATTATTTTTGTGGGAAGATATAAATAACACAACACTTGCCATTCTAATCATTCTTAAGTGTGCAGTTCAGTGGCTTGCACAACTATCACTACTAGCCTTCTAATTTCTTTTATGATCCCATGTAGAAACTATATGCCCATTTAAACAGTAAGTCCTCATTCCGTCCTCTCCTAGCCCTTGGCAATCACTGTTCTACTTACTCTCAATGAATCCGGTCACGCTAAGAGCCTTATATAAGTGGCATCATATAGTTTTTTTGTCCCTTCATGTCTGGCTTATTTCACTTAGCATAATATCTTTAAGGTTCATCCATGTCATAACATGTGTCAGAATTTCATCGGTTTGGGGGACTGTATAAAGTTCCATTGCATGTATATGCCATTTTTTGTTTGCCTGTGGATGGACATTTTGGATTGTCACCTTTTAAGCTATTGGTAATAATGCTGCTGTGGACACTGATTGTAAAACATCAGTTTAAGTCCCTGCTTCCGCTTCTTTTGTGTATATACCCAGAGGTGAAGTTGCTGGATCAAATGTGTAAATTCTTTAGGAACCATGCCTATGTAGCCTTGAGTAGGTCATGAAACCTTTCAGAATCACATTTGTGAGACAGGGAGAATCAAAGCACTACCTCAGTGGGGTGGACTGGAAATAACAAAGATGGGGCACATCATAAACCCTTATGGGTGCTTAATCTCATTGTCCTCTGAGTCTGAAAATAAACTCATAAAAATTCTCTAAGAAAAACAAACAAACCAAAGGCCCAGCTGGCATAGCCCAGTAGTTTGAACATCGACCTATGAACCAGGAGGCCACAGTTCAATTCCCAATCAGGACACAAGCCTGGGTTGTGGGCTCGATCCCCAGTGTGGGGCATGCAGGAGGCAGCCAATCAACGATTCTCTCTCATCACTGATATTTCTATCTCTCTCTCTTACTCTCCCTTCCTCTCTGAAATCAAATTTAAAAAAATATTTTTTTAAATAAAAAAAACCCAAAGCACTCAAATGAAATGATCTCTAAAGTCACTCCCAACTCCCAAACTCCATGACCCCACCATTCAATTATTTGCCTGCTGGAGAAGCCAGAAGTTTTCAGAGTATATCTCAGGGAAACTCCCTCTGCATGGTCCCCACAGAAAGCCACCCCTGCCAAGAAGGCCCAATTTTCATAGCTCTCTCCTTGGAATTTGCTAACACATCCCATTAGAAACCAACATCTAATTTTTCTTGCCACTCCTTCCCCTGCTTTCTTTCCACATCCCCTCTGTCGGCTCCTTCTCCTGCCCGCTGAATAGCTGGGCTTCAAATCATCCTCCCCCATTGCCTTCATGCTTCATCCCTTCCACAAGCTAATGTCTGTTGGAAGCAACACTCGTGGAGTTATCCATATTAAGGTTTCGTTCCCAAGAGTCACATATTTTAAATGAGTTTTTCCTCTTGGGCAGAATCCTGCTGGCAGAGCGGCTGCTATTTGGTGAAGTCAGCGGAGTTGGGTTTCTCCCTCACATGCTATTTATGTTGGGTTATCGCTTGGCCTGATGTTTGGCGTCTCGTCCTCCGACATGTATCCCATGCCGATGAGCAACCACATCCCCTGAGCCATCCAGCGGAGGCTTGCGTTTCATCAAGCGCTCATTTTAGAAAAGCAATTAGAGGAGCTGGGCTTCCAGGCTTCAGCCGGGGCCAGATTTAGATTCCAGCAGGGAGGGGACTCATTCACTACTTAAAGAAATATTTTCCTTCTCCTCGCCCGGCCGTCCCTCCGCCTGCCCTCTCAATGTGAACGCTCACCAGCTGAGCTATCCTCGCTAGACACAGAGAAGCTGCCCCGTGGTTCAGCCCGCAGCCCGGCTGCCAGGAATCCACGCACACTCCCCGAAGGGTTTCCACAGCAGAAAGTAAAAGAAATTCTCGGGTAGGGAACAAATGGGTTTTTCAGATCCTGGGCAAGAAAAAAAGGTAGCTGAGTTTTCTTTTTTTTTCTTTTAAGTTTTATGGGTTTGAGATATCTCATCTGCCACATTATCGAGAGAGAGAGAGAGAGAGAGAGAGAGAGAGGGGGGGGGGGGGGGGGGAGGGGCGGGGAGAAAAGCAGGGGGAGAGCTGATCGGAGCCCTGGTGCTCCCAGTAGGAACCAGACTCCTCTGGAGCGGGCCTGGGGCCACCAAGCCTAGAGGTTAGGCTTCCAAAGGCAGAGGTGGGGCAGGGAGCAGTCTGCATGCGAAGCCGTCACCCTACTGTGTGGACAGGGTCTGGGTTATTGGCCCCTTATGGGCCCCTTCTTTCTTCACTATGGTCTTCACTCCAGATGAGACAAGATTCAAATGAAACCCTCTGTCCAGCTTGAGAGGAAATCACCAACATGTCACCTGCAACTGGCAGTCTATGGGGAGGTGGACAGCATTGACCCAAGTGGGGCTTTTGTCGTGAATCCTGACTTTTTGTTCACACTAGGGACACCTGCCAGCTAATTGCAGCAATGGAGCACCCAACTCATGGGTAGAGGCCAGGTGACAGGTAACCAGCACAGGTGACAACTAACCAGCACAGAAGGTGACAGCTAACCAGCACAGGTGACAGCTAACCAGCACAGAAGGTGACAGGTAACCAGCACAGAAGGGAAGCAGCAAAGCTCACATACTCCTTGCTCCCGTGCAAGCTGCCCTGTTTTGTCACATCTGTGCATTTCCACCTGCCTCACCGCAAGAGGCATCATCTTACCTCCTGACTCCCGCCTCCCACCCCCAGCCATGGTAAGAACAGATGCTCCTGAGAAGCCCCCTTTCCCTGCCTGCCAGCGAGCAGTCACAAAACAAGCCTGCCAGCCCCTCGCTTCAGCTCCAGCTTCAGAGGCTCCCAGAAGCTCTGGGTCTGGTTTCAGCCGCACTTGCCTGGGAGCCCATTGGACGTGGGTTTGTGGCTCCGAAAATGACACATGAAAAAACAAAACAGAGAAGCCAGAGCTCTTTCTAAACAAACACTGCGCGTCCCCAGAAACAACGTGCACTTTTAACCTCAGCCTTTTCCTAGTCCTTCTCACTCTTATCAGGAAGGAAATACAGATGCCAAGCGAGGAAACCTCCCCTCGGGGATCTGTCCTGAAGGGACGTGACAGTAACCATTCACCCAGCAGGATGCCCACCAGCAGGAACGCCCTTGAGGCACGCTTGGCTGGCCAGTTCACTTCTCTCCTTCCCACTCCCCTCCCAGGGGCTCTTTCTAGGAGAAACTTGACTTTTGCCAGTCAGAGTAGGTAACTCATTCTGGACAGACTCCTGGAGGTAAGTTTATGCTATAAAACAAAACAAAAAAACCCAAGACAAAATAAAACAAATGGATAAAAATGGAGCTGGTTCCCCTTTGGGAGGCAGTTTCAGTCCCACAAGTTGGGATGACAAAACCGAGTCACATTCTCGGGAAGGAGGCAGGCGCACCAGCCCAAACCCCACAGCCCGCCCGCAGCACCAGCTATGGGGGCTCCCCAGGCCCACGCCCCACCAGACCCCAGAAGGAAGATGCCTCCCAACTGGGGCGTCCTGCCGGCTACTCACGGTACCTCTTGGCAAGGACGAGATGAGCAGAAGCTGCAGGAAAGGGAGCCCCAACTGCATCCACCAGCCCAGCTCCATCGTTCCTGTGGCCAGTGCCCTGAGTGACTGCTGGGGAGGGACCGAGGGGGCCCGGCGGGTAGCGGTTCTTACAGGGACCTCCCCAAGCCCCAGCGGAGCAGGAGCTCGGGTTTCAGCTCGCCAGGCTCTCCCATCCTCATCGGAGGGAACCACCTTCAGCGAGCGCGCTCAACGTCAGCCCCAAACCTCTCCTCTCCGCTGCCTTAACCCTTGCGGGGCTTGGGGAGGTGTGGCCACGCGGCTGGGAAACTCCGGCTGGGCTGAAAGGGACTGATGCAGGGAAGCAGGGGTGGGTGGGGGTAGGGAGGGGTGGGGAGAGGAAGACCAGCCCAGGTGCCACCAGGCTCCCTAGCCAGGTTGAGGGAGGGGGACAGCTGGCAGGTTGGGTGGCTGGATGGGGCAAAGGTAGGCGGGGCTGTGGGGCGGCTAAGGTGAGTCAGGAAGTCTCACAAACATGTGTGCCCCTACCCACTCTCTCCTCCCCGCCCCCATCCCCACCCCCACAGTAGGCTGGGAAAGGAGGCTCCCCTGCCTGCCATGTGAGTGTCCTTTTGGGAGGAGGCACTGGTGATGAAAGGAGAAAGAGGACCACCCACACACACATCCTCTCCACCTCTATTCCTTCTGTCATTCAGGCCCAGGGCAGTGGGGAGGTTTCCCTGAGCTGGGGGAGCTTGACCTGGGGACTGGGAGTAGAGTCTCAATCCATGGAGGGGGATAGGGAAAACTTTCTAGAAGAAAAGACTAAAGTTGGGCACTAGGAAATAATGATTGTTTACAAGCTTATATTATAATTTATATTTATTCTTTTCCCAAAAGAATCCATGGCAACATATATCATGGTGTGGCTCAGTGGTTGAACATCAACCTATGAAACCAAGAGGTCACCAGTTTGATTTCCAGTCAGGGCACATGCCCAGGTTTCAAGCTCGATCCCCAGTAAGGGATGTGCAGGAGGCAGCCAGTGGATGTTTCTCTCTCACATCAAAGTTTCTAACTCTCTATCTCTCTCTCTCTCTCTCTTTCTAAAATCAATAAAAACATTTAATTGTTTTTTTAAAAATGTGAGTTAAAGATTTATACATGTACTAGAGGCCCAGGGAACAAAATTTGTGCATGGGTAGGGTCCCTAGTCCTGGCTAGAAATCAGGACCCATCTGTGGACCAACCAGGGGGATAATCGGGGGCTCCTACTGGCACCCGCTTGGCCAGCCTGGCACTGCCTGCTTGCCAGCTCCAGCCCTGCAGATGCCACCAGTTGCCTCCCTCTGTGGGGCAACCATGGGGCTATAGCAACCCCCTTCCGCCTCCCCCCCTCATGTTCCCCCCCACACACACACACACACCATGGCTGGCCTGGGGCCTGCGGGTTGGGGGGAAATTCCTGCATTGAGCATCTGCCCCCTGGTGGTCAGTGCACGTCATAGCGACTGGTCATTCCACAGTCAATTTGCATATTAGGCTTTTCTTATATAGGCTATAAACAAAAGCCAACTTGAAAGAATAGACAATATGTATGTCTAGTTTGGATGTGGCAGAGAGCAGGAAAAGAGGAAGAGTGTGGCCCAGAATTGAATTTTATTCTTTAGTTAATGGGGGATTGGCAATGTAGAAGTGGGTATTGGGCCCGACCTCCCTGAATTGCTATCCAGCAACCTCATCCCTTCAGCAATGATTATACCCCATCAGGGTGGGGCCCAGGTGATTAACCTGACTGGCTGCTCCCTGAGGAAGTCCCCGGTACCAAGTGTTTGCCTCCTCAGGCTTATGAGTACCCAGGCCCTCACTTCTCTTCCTGGACTGTCCTACCCACAGGAGTCATTGGTCCCTATTAGTTAGTTGCACTCCTTTGGGTTTGCAAATTTCCTTGGGCTCTGGAACCTAGAAGGGAATTTTCCAAAAGGAATGAGACACTTTTCCCTGGGGACTTCAAGACATCATCTTGTTGAACTTGACAATAAAATGGGGCTGCTAGAGGATGAGGGAAGCCACTTGACTTAAGGGCACAGTTTGCCAGAGGCTGTGCAGCACTGCACCAATTTAGCTGCTTCTCCTCCCATCATGGTCAACTCAACTTTTCATACCAATAGAGTTCAATATTGCTCTAAATCAGGTGTTCTTAACTTGGGCTTCATGAAGTCTATTGGGAGGGAGTTTTTAGAGGGCATCTGAACCTTTGGAAATTATAAGTAAATATTTTGCATGTTTTTTTTTTTTTTTTTTTTTTTTTTTTTTTTTTTTTTTTTTTTTTTTTTTTTTTTTTGACTAAGAGAGAGCCATTGCCTTTTTCAAGGGGACCAGCAACTCCCAACTTTTTAATGACTGATTTTCATAAATTGATACTGCAAATTTGACCAAATATTTGTTGAATTTGGATAAAGTCATTTATTATATATAATTATTGAGTCTAGGCTATAAACTGCACAATGGATATTTGGAGAAACACACACACACACACACACTTTGATATTTCTACCTTAAAAGCACTTGCTCTGAACCACATTGCATAGTGTTGAATCTAGCTGGATCACTTACTACCTGTGCAACCTGGGCAGTTATCTCTCTTATGATGGCCTTAGTTTTTTCATCTGTTAAGTGGGAAGAATAATGGTAACTGCCCAAATAGGAATAAAGAGCTCTAATAGTGCCTATTTTTATTATGACTATCTCTCCCTCCTGCCATTATCTTCTCCACCCACTTCTGGGAGAAATAAATCACTAGAAAGGCTGTGGCTATAAAAAGCGAAGTGTCATACGGGTGTAGGGAATGATACCTGGAAATAAGAATTATTTACTTAAAATCAATACTGAGAAAGCCACAGTTGGCGGTAATAGATGAAGTCAGGCCACTCATTTAATTACAAGTCACACTACTCACTAATTTTTTCATGAAAGGAAGAGGCATTTAACAACACCTGTACCTTTTTCAGTGCCACCAGGAATGCTGGTTGTATGTGAACACATAGAAAGAAACAGCAGAGAAGGCTGTCCTGTAAACACTAACAGCTCCCCATTCTTCAAGTTATAACTTGGGCCGATCAGCCACTGAGCAGCTACCATACAGTGAGTGGGAGAACTAGAGGAAAGAGCTGGGTGGAGCTGGTCTGCAAACCTGAGAGGCATCCCAGACTGCTGGCAATTAAGCTTGGTTTCTATCAGCGACACAAAACACAAAGTTCAAGTCAACCAAGGCCAGAGATGGAGAAGGGTCGGTCTGTGGAAAGACAAAGGGCCCTTCCACCAGAGCCTGCTGTAACCGGCCCCACCAGGGAAGTCTCCAGCTCTAATAAATACCGGCTGTTCACCTACACAACAAGCAATAATGTTCTGCCTCCAGGTCTGGCTCAGCTCCACTCTCTTTCCACTGGGGGCCAGGCAAAGGGGTATGTGTGTCTGTGGTTCTTTCTCTGGCTACATTCTTCTGGCTCTAGGTCATCCTTCATGCAAATTGCTGAAAGCCAGTGAGCCTTCCTCCTTCATAGTCCATGTGCTCCTGAATCACTCGGGGAAACCTGCTCTTGACTTCCCTACGTATATTTATAAACTTCAATTTAATACAAGATGTTGTCAGTTCTGCAACTGAACTGCAAAGCATTTCAAAGAACACTGGCAAAAAAAAAAAAATATGACCAGAATCCAAGTGTCTAGCTTAAGAGTTATAAGCAGTTGAGCCATTTTGTGTGATGATGGAAACAAAAAGTAGAGTAACTCAATGAGAAGGCTTCAAGGTACCGTAGCCCAAAGACACTGTAGTCAACAGACTCCGGTATGGATCAAAGCTCTACTACCCACCAGCTGTGTGAACTTGGGCATGTTCATTGGCCTCTCAGAGCCGCAGTTTCCTCAACTGTAAAAATGAGGTAAGGACTACCTTTTAATTTTGGTAAAAAGATTAAAATGTGGCTAGCATATATATGGCAGCTCAATCAATGTTGACTATTATTATAACTATCAATAAATATATAATCTTAGAATTTTTCAAAAATCCTCCTTTCAGATATTTAACTGAAATAAAACTTAATAGGTATCATTTTCCTTAGGTCTGGTGATATAAGTTAGGTTAGGTTCCTATAGTGAAACAGATGCACCTCTGAAAAATATATTTCCTTGTATATTTATGTTTCCAGTGGGAGGTCTAGGTAGAGTGTGCATTTGTTTGAAGACAAATTGAGAGGACCCTGCCCAGGTATTAAAAAATGTATTCTGACACTAGTTAAAGACAATAAGGAATACTTTAGTCAAGGAACCACTGCAATGGGATGCTATGATAGGGAAATGATGTTGGGCCTAATTCTGAAGTCAATCAGGAAAAGTGGGAATTTATATCCAAGGAGTAGGATGGGATCAGTGGGTGGGAAATTACTAAGACGAAACATTAAGGGTAAGGGGGCACTCTGGCTGTACTGATTTGATAAGATTCTTGATGAAGGCAGGCCAAGGTGATCAGGTATCAACAAGGAGATGTGCGGTGTCAGGAATTTGATCAGATATCAAGGGTAATCAGACATCAATAATTGGGGACTTTCACTAAGCTGATTTAGCAAGACTTTTATTCTTAAGGACAAAGCCTACTTGAATAAAGGCTCAGAGAATCTTGACTAAAATTAGGTTAAGAAGATGGTGTTTGTCACAGGGCCCAGAAAATCCCCTGCACTGCACTGACTGTTTCAAACCTGCCACCTGTTCCCTGGGAAAAATAAGATTCTAGATAATGAAAGCATAATATGCAAATCGATTGAATGGCAGAAAGACCAGTTGCTATGATATACACTGACCACTAGGGGCAGGCGCTCAATGCAGAAGCTGCCTCAGCCCACAGGCCCCAAGCCAGCTAAGGTGGTGCCAGCAGGCCCCCCTCTCATCACCCCACCAGTCATCCCACAGATCAACCCTAATCATTGGCCAGGCCTAGGAACCCTACCCATGCACAAATTTTTGTGCACCAGGCCTCTAGTTTGTATATAAAGTAACTGGTCTCTTTCTATGCAGCCTCCTTCCAT